GGTAACAAAGTCATGAGATAAGAGGCCCAGAGAGGATTGTGGAGGAGTGGTAGCTGTCAAGACGAGAGACACGTTGGCATGTCCTTCTGTGCGGAATGCTCCGGGGGCGCACACGCTGTGGATGCTGTGGAGGAGAGGGGAGGGTGGCTGGAGTAGTGGCCTCGAGTAGCTGGAGAGGGACGGGTGGCACCCAGGGCGCCGGGGGAGCGGCAGGGCCCACCCGGGAACGGGGATACCCTCTGCCCCTTCCTCCTTTTCCTCGTCTCTGACTCCCACAGTGACCTTGCTGTCAGCCCGCCCGCCTCAGTCTCTCAGCTCTCTCACATTGCACAAATTCTGTTGTCTCCTCTTTACACTTAGACCAGCCTTCAAAAAAAGATAAAGAAAAACATTATATTCAGAACCTTCTGCACTGTAGAGTGAGGCTAAAGTACCTGCTTTGCCTTTACCAGTTTTGCTGCGTGAGTCCATTGAGATTTTGTACAGAATAACCTTCTGGAAACTCCCAGGCCTTTAACTTCATCTTAGAAAGGAAGAAACAAATCGTTATCCAAACTGCAACGGTATTAGCTAGCCTTCTCAGCACGCCAGCTGTGTGTACCTTCCGTCTTTTCTCTTCACCTTTTCTATACGGAATGACCAAATTTTTCCTGCTACTTCCAGCTGACACTTTCAGTGTAACGTCTCACTGTTAACCCACCTGCCGGGAGAACTCAGAGTCAGACTGTCTAGTACTCTGGTCGGGTGTTAAATTTGTCACTCAATACATTCAGCCTTGAGGGACTTGTTTGAAAAAAACCTTTGTCCCGATGAGTGCAGACAGCGCCACCTGCTGGAATCACACTTAGAGCGGGGGAGGGCGAACACAGAGGCTGGCCATGGTTTTGTCTCATTCATTGTTTCAGGTCACTCCGATGAAGTTATGACCCAGATTTATTTCAAAGGTAATTTCTGCCATCTATACTCTTGTGATACCAATGTGGCACCCTGTGCATTTCTTTGAATGTCTCTTTCCTCCCAGTAATGATTCAATATCTAAAATGACTGTTAAGACTAGGGGTATTTCATTTCATTATTTCTTGAAATTAAATCATGGCATGTTGGTAATCAAAGGGATCTTCAAGATCATCTAGTTCAGTGTATTCAAACACGTTTTGGACACAGAAACTACAGATGCAGTCCTCATTTCAGACACTGGTCAACGGAGGCCCCCAAAAGGTGAAAACGAGAAGACAGGAAGTTGTCCCCACTAATTCCCAAACTGTTCCCTGAGTCAGTTAAGATGCTTTCAGCTACAGCGAAAATGGCATAAACAATAACAAATACGTCACATAAGAAGTCTTGAGGTGGCCCTGGGAATAATTTAAAGGCTGAATAGTGTGAAGGCTGCGCAGTGTCACCAAGGGCCCAGGTTCACCCACTGCCCTCCCTGTGCTGTGGTCCCTCTTCCCTTTGGTGGGTCGCATGTTGGCAAGGTGGCTCCACCACATCAGGAACCACAGCTCCCAGCCAGTATCCAGGGGCAGAAAAAGTGCTGGCTATCTGTTCTCTTAAGAGCTAAGAAATGTGTCCCAAAAGAGCCCCTAAAAACTTCCCTCATGTTTTATTGGCTAAGGGGGGAATGCTATGTCCCATCTTGAGTGAGTTCCAGAAAAGGAGCACGAAACTGCCGTGTCTGACTTGGACAAGTCAAGATTCACCCTCTGAGCTTAGGGAAGGGCCATCCCAACCTGAAGCATGAGATTCCATGGGAGCACAGAGCTTCCTGGGCAAAATTGGATCAACTGGCCAGGAAAAGGTAGTAGTGGCTATTGATTGGAAGAAAATTCCCCGTGAGTCTCTCCCATTTGGGCTTGTCTTCAGCGCAGGGGGCCTTTACAGCGTCGTTCAAGGATGCATGAATAGTAAACAGCTTTAGGGATAGTGTCTTCCTCTGGAACAGAGGGTAGACTTGTTTCCTGACCAAGAGAATAAAGCTAACAGTGTGTAAGTTGAGCAGGTATGCTAGCAGCCCCTCTAAAAGATTATGCTTTCCTAAGTGTGGGGTTCCTCAGCTGTGACACAAGCTCACTGCACATGCGGCATACATTGGGCTGCTCCACATGTCCCCTGTGGGACTTGGGGGACCAGTGAAGCCAGTGTGGACATGAAGCTCAGGCTGCCTGCTGCGCTGTGAATGGTGAGGTCCGAGGTCTCTGCCCCAGGAGGCTCTGCCTTGGGCCAGCATCTGTGCAACTGTGGCCAACTAACCTGTCACTTTGCAGGGAGGGTGAAATCTCTGATGCTTCCCAGTTCTTAACACTGATGGAAGGGTAACCATTACTGCTGCTTCAGTGCTCCTTCCAGGGAGCCACACTGGGTATGTCCAGTTCCCGAGGACTTTCTTCTGGGAATGAGGCGTTTATAGCATGTAAGAAACTCCGTTTCCGCAGCAGAATCAGGGCAGAGCGGCCATCTGCGGCCAGCACACAGGAAGTGAGGACGGTTTGCTGGCTCTGGAGTCTTTGATGTTCCTCCCTTTTATTCGCTCGCTGACTCTCTCTGTAATTACCTCTTTTAAAATGTCAGTTCCTCTCACCCAGAAGACCAAGAGCAATCAGCCGCAAAGTGAACTTTAGAAGCTTTTAAAACACACTCCCCTGAGCAATGTCAGGGACGCCGACCTTGCATGGCCGGAAAAAGAACCCTTTCCTTCGCTCTCACTCTCGGCCCTTCAGCCCCCTTCCTTGGGAAACAGCGGACGGGAAGCCAGCTAGGCAGAAATTGTGGCTTTTCCTCAGCAGAGCCTGAATGGAGGCTTTGAGGGGGAGTCCGCTCTCGGGGCGCCCTTGGCCTTGAGTCCCTCTGCTGCACCCCGTCGTGGTGAACAGACTACATTACCACAGCCTCCAGGGACTTCCTTCTGCAGAGTGAAGTGTTGATGCTCAAAAGACCACAGTCCGGAGGAAGCAACAGGGGCACTAGTGCCACAAGCAGAGAAAAAACATAGCTATTTCCTAGTTAACTGCTGGTACTCAGTGTTTCTCCAAATGGTGACAATTTAAAGAGCAGGACAAGAATTCATCTCAGCAGGAGAAAAGGAAATTAGAGCAGCTTCTGTCCCTTTGAGTCAAACCTCAGGGTTAAACTCAATTTATCCCTAAATTGTGTTTCCCTGATGCTTGTTGATACCTTTAAAATAAAACAAGCTTTCCTACGTAGCTCAGGAAACCTGGTTCTCTTGCTGTTCTGGCAACTTATATTTTGAAATGCATCTTATATTTTAAATGCAACTTACATTTTAAAACATAGCACCTCAAGAACATAACAGATTCAGTCTTAAAACTGAGGCTACCTTTTCCCCATTGGCTATGCAGATACAGGGACAGATCATTCCGGCGGTGAGTCGTATGACTGTCCACCTGCATCCTGATCAGGCTTCAGTCAAAACCTTGATGAAGGTCACCGGCCTCCATCAAGTCGCAGTGACCCCTGAAGGCAGGAGCTCCTAATTTAGAGGAGATATTTCACAGAGTAGGTGTGGAATCACCACAGGTGTTAAAATTAAAGTTCTCTTTCTAATGACATAAAAGATCAAAACTCCTTGGTACAATTAGGCTGATTAAATTGAGCTCTACCTTGACTATCCCTGTAGCTCAATAAAGTTAATGCAAGTTTTCAGAGGGGTCTGACGGAGAGGCAGGGAACAAACTAGGTCCTGAGAGAATCTGGCCCACTGTGGTTTTTAAATTAGAAATTTGATTGCTTGCAACACCATCTCAAAATGGTACCAATCCAAAGAAGCTGAATTTTCCATTTGCCTGGGGAAAAAAAATGACAGATATTTAATTAAACTCCTTAGAGATTAGGCAGAAGACGTATTGATAGATAAGGGGGCTGAATCTCTTTATAAGCAAAGTTAGGAAACCCCCTGGTATGCCACATGTTTAATGTTGAAAAGAACTCACCAAGCCTGAGAAGCCGAGGATGTGTGCACTGCTGTGCGCTAAGCTGCCTCCCCTGCCAATCGCAAGAAAAATATCCATTTTAAAAACACGTTTGTATGGCATTAGGTGGTCACTGAGGAGCATAAAACCTAAAATGTGCAGAAGGAGAGACACAACCAAAGTTGCCAAAGCAGACACCTAATCCATTTTTCTGTTGTTGAAAGGCAACTTATTATGGAAGGAGGTTGATTTGGAGCAGATGTTTGGGAAAACAACGAGTCATGGTCAGTGCTGGAGGGTGGGTTAGGAGAGGGGTCCAGCATCCCAGAAGGGGAGCGACCGAGGTGTGCACCCAGGGACTCTGGAAGAGGGTCGTTCTGGGGCATCTGGAGCCACCTTTCAGACAGCCACAGGTGGTCTGAGAAATGCAGGTCACTTCCACCGCTCAGCCGCTCACATCCCCTGATTTCCGGTAAGAACATAGTGACTAGATTAATGAAATATGACTTTGCGGGTCCTCCCAAAGCAGTGGCTCTCAACTCTAGCTACATACTACCATTTCCCAGGGCGCGTTCTAAATTCCAGCACCTCTGCCAGACCAACTGAGACGCAGGCATTTCGTAAAACGCCTTATCCAGGTGCAAGTCCTGCCTTGGGGACTGTGGACGAGTCACACTGTGTATGGAATCGAAAGATCTCAAGCTCTGAAATCGGGCAAGCCTGGGTCACCTCCCGACTCCACTGCTTACTAAGTCCAAGACCTTTGGTGTGTGCTTAACCTCTCCAGGCCTAGGTTTCCTTATCTGGAAAGAGTCAGTGATGGTAACTTCTCGATAAAGATTAAGAAAATGAATGTATACCTAGCCCCCAATCCGAGTCTATTTCCTTCCCTTGGTTATTGATGGTTAATAATGGATCCACATTTTACCCTTCCTCCAATGATTTTGCCACAGACCTTCGTAGCAAGTGACCGGCTTAGGTCATTCTCTCACTGCTTTGTTTTGCACTAGAGTTCACTGCTCTTCGGTATCTGGAGGGGACACTTATGTCCTGTCATGCTCTCTATTCCTCCAGCTGCCACAGAAGTGTCCTTTTCTTTTGATGTTGGAAATGGGCCGGTGGAGATTTCGGTGAGGTCGCCCACCCCTCTCAATGACGACCAGTGGCACCGGGTCACCGCAGAGAGGAACGTCAAGCAGGCCAGCTTACAGGTGGACCGACTGCCCCAGCGGATCCGCCAGGCACCCACAGAAGGCCACACCCGCCTGGAGCTCTACAGCCAGCTGTTTGTTGGTGAGTAAGAGAAAGGCCATTGTGACTTCCTCCGTGGGTTTTAATAACCTTCACATTGGGGAAAATAAAGCAGTCTGCAGTGTTTTGACAGAGATCTTTCCAAAATCAATGTCTAGGCTCCTTGTAAGCCTCCTCCAAGACAGAATGGAACAAGGAAGGAGACTTGAACAACCTAAATCCGGCTCCACTCTGGAGCTCACCATCCTCGCCTACAAAACCAGAGGGTAGGCAGGACATCGCTGAGGTCTGAGCTGTGCAGTGTTAGGTTTATGGCCTTATAAGTGTCTAAAAGTCTTGATAATTTAGGGCAGCTGTAACTGAGGAAAGAGGAGAGGGAGGCAGTGGGGGAGGGAAGGGAGAGAGGAAATGAGCTCCCTAAGTTCAGGTTTGCTTGAAAGGAAAGTAGAAATCCCTTCCTTTCTCTGCCCATCCTCAAGGTTCTGGGCAGAGAAAGATTTAAACCTCTCCCTACATAGTATCTTTCTCCATGGGAATGAGATCAACACCGACAAGAAAGGTCAACAGCAAAAAGCTAAGCGTTCTCTGCAAAAGGATCCAGCCCCACAGTCTAGTCTTTGCTTTTGACAAACTCCAGCTGAACTGGCCTTACTTCAAACCAATACCCATTTCCGTGGCTAGTTAAGTGTTAGATTTTGTCTTCCAGAAAACTAACAAGTCAGGAAATTAGCCATTTTTCCTCTGCTTAATGAAACGAAAGCGAGTGCCAAGGACTCTGTGGCTTTGTGCTGCCCCAGACCCCCTCCGAGGTGGTTAACTGAGCGATTCAGTCAACTGCAGCCGTCTCAGACCCAGCAGGCCGGACATGACCTGGTTGCGGTTCACAGTCTTAATACCCGCCACCCTATCGGAGCCTCACTCAGGGCCAGTTAATTTTAACCAGGGCCAACAGTGTCTCCGTAATCATGTGGGGATGCTTTGAGAACATTCAGAAGTCACTAAAAGAAAGGTGAGATTAGGCATCCACTCCTTGGGTGCGATGCGGGCAAACTACACAAGTGTTTGCTCAGTTAGCTGAAGTAAGACCGACTTGTTATCAGGCCTAGTCAGCCAGGGCCCTCAAAAGAGTATAAATACCAATCCTGAGCGCCAGCTAGAACTCCCCCTGCCCAGCCCTCCCCTCACATTACAGTTCTCAAAATAACACATTATTTTTAAATTATTTTTTATCAATTAAATATCAAGTCCACTTATTCCTGCTGAATACTGTGAGCAGTCTGAGTTTACCAGCACCCCTTGCCCTGATCACCTAGGGAGAGCTTCTTGTTAAATCCTGTTAATCCCCAGCATGCTGGTCAGTGTCTGCAGGCGACCCTGACTACCCCAGCTTCTCATTCATCCGGACTTGTCCCTGGGGGTAAAGGCCCACCCACACTTTCATTCCTCTCTTCTCGCTGTCAGCAGTTCTCTCCAAGAACAAGGAGTTTAGGTAAAGGTGTAAAATGGAAAAGGGCAGGGGGACATTTATTATGGTCTGGAAAATAATTTTAATTGGTTTAAACAGGAACAGCTTATGGAGAAAGAAGAAGGTGGAGGTCCGAATTCAACAGAACAAGCACATTTAAGAGACAGACTGAAAAGTAGTGTCTCAGGTGGAAGAATGGGAGGATGAAGCAAGGAAAAGCTAGGGAGGGGGTGTCACAAGAGGCAGGGGTTCTACTGCGTTATGTCTAGTGTCACCGACAAATAATGCCAACAGCCACATGTAAAATAAGGCTAGAAAAGTAATTATGAAATCCCTGGTGATCTCAGAAAGAGAAGTGTCAGACGGTGGGGTGACATGATGAGTCACAAGATTTCTTTTCCTGTGATGAAAAGGAGTCAGTGTCCCCTCCCAGCTTCTAATTTCCTATCTGAGAAGCGGGCATGATGCACATCTCCCAGACACAAGCTGTTGGTGCCAATACGAAGCGTGTTGTTCTGCAGTAGACTTCCGTCCCAGGGCCAGTGGGGAGAGGTCTTGTTTCCATACAAAGCAAGTCCAACACTATGAAATCCTGGAGCCACGTATCCTAAGACTAGTCAGCAGGCATTCAGGAAACAGCTAGAGGGTTGTTCTCAGTTCCACTCTAATAAGAAGCATTATCTGGACCAAGTATTGCTACTTTCTTACTTTGAGTCTCTTTTTTCATCTAATAAAGGAGTTGGATTAGTTGGTCTCCAAAATTTCTTCTGCTTTAGCCATTTATGATTATGTGATTAGAGCTGGTTAAAAAAGGCCTGGGTTGCCAAGCAATTATATTTCCCACAGTCATGTGGTCAACGACATGGGCTTTGAATCCCACTTCTGCCACTTACCAACAGACACCACTGACACGTTACTTAACTTTCCTATATTAAATAGGGCTCCACTTCCTAGGTCTCAGGATGAACTGAGATAGTCCATGATAAGCAGTCTGCAGGGTACCCAGCATGAGTTGTTTCTACCTTTTCTCCCACCTTTACTCCCTTAGCTTTCTTACTCCTCCAAAAAAATATTCAGCCATTCCCACCAAACCCTTTCCAACTGGCTCTTTTCTTCTTTCCCCAAATACTGACACCTCAACTCAGAAGCCCTGGAGGAAGTTTGCATGAGTAAATGCCCCCAACATCCAGGGCATTCTGCAGCTCCTCTGCTCACCTGCCATGGAGCCGCAGAGCGGCGGCCAAGAGCCGGGCCAGCCGAGAAGGCAAGCGAGTGTCCAGCACCACACCAGTGTCACTGCCCACATCGAGGCGAGGGGCAGAGCTGTCCAGGGGCTCCACCACCTTCTAGAGGAGGAGCCTTTGACTCAGCCAACAGCCAGAACAGCCTGGAAGCAGTTCTCCGCTTGGCCACAGAGTGCACTGTAAGCAAAGGCCAACCTCCAGCGGCCTAGCAAGGCCAGGCCCACGCCTCCCCTTTCAAAGTAGCTGAAAAAATCAAGAGAGGATACAGTTCTCCTCACTCTTCATCCAAAATATAATTAGAAGCTGCCATCAAAAGTGGGTTAACACAGGTCTTTTGAAAGTAATTCTCATTTAGGACAAGAACTATGATTACAACTAGAACTCGCTTTAATCTAAAAGTAACAAATAAATTCAAAAAGTGACTTGGAAAGAAAATAGTTGGCTGGTATTTGTCCAAGAAGCATGGGAAACTCTCTCATGTTTCTGATCCAACATGAGCAGCTAGTACATGATTCGCTCCAGGGCCGGCACAGCATTGGCACTTAAACCACACGGGGCTCTGTAGCCTCAGCCAGCCAGGGAGCTCAGACTACATCTTCTGTGGCAGCCGGAGGCCAGGTTTCTCCCAGAGCAGAGAACAGTGATCATGCTCAAGGCAGTTACCTAAATCTGAACAGTGCCAGGCTGGACTGAGCCAAAGCCCTGGATGTTCCAGGCAGCTGAAGCAGCAGGGGCAGGGCTGTGAGGGGCAGGTGTCTGCGGGCCCTCAGCCTGGGGCCTGGCAGCCCACCCAGGGCCTGGCCAGATTGCTGGCGGGTGTGAGCCACGGAAGGGAGCCGTGCAGGCTACTCAGGGCAGGCAGCTGCTGTAGGCGTTCGTTTGCAGCAAGCCAGACACAGGCCAGAGCACGTAACTGTTCTTGGTGGTAGTTCAAAGAGGAGGAGGTCAGAGTTGAGGAGCTTCGGAAAGCTGCAGGGAGAGGCTGGGCTCCGAGCGGCTCCCGAAGAGAGGAGGGTCGGTCATCACAACTAATGACGAATGTCCGGGCTCAGCTCACTTGGCTCCGACCTCTTCTGAAATCTCTCCAGAGGTTAAATGAGGCCACGCCTTCTGTGCAAGAGTAGCCAAAAAGGAGCTGGAAAAAATCATTCTCATTCCTTCAGGATCCTTCACACTGGGCAGGAGGCCTGGCGGGAGACGAGACCGAACGGGCAAAGCGCTGTCCTAAAGACTCAGAGACCAGTGGTAGCAGGGAAGCCTGCAGCCCCCTCTTCCTCCCGCAGTTCGTCTGTCAGGAAACGTTTTCTCCCCATCCAACGTGGGTTTTCAGAAGAACTGAGAATTATTAAATGGATTTGAGTGAATGAGGACAGAGCGCTGCGGCCGTCCCCTGAGCCGTGCCTGGCTAGCGGCCCCACTTGCCCCACACTCAGTGATACGGCTCCTCATTCCCTCTGTATCCCAAACTCACAGATGGATGATTCCATTTCCATCTGACATGCAGTGTCATTGAGAGAGCAGAACAAAAATCAACATCCGTGTGCAGGGAGAAAAGTGGAATTCCAGCCATGAAGAGCTCCCAAATCTGTATGAATAAGACCTTTCTTTCTAGTACCCGAGAAGTTCAGGATTAAACAAATACAATCCAAATTCCAGGAATTAAAGCACAGAAAATAAGTCGTTCGTTCCCATTTCCTACAAACCTGACACAACGGCAACCACATAAACGCTGGCTGAGATGTCCTGGGTGATACTTCCAGGCCAATGCTTCACTGGCATTATTTACCTCATGTAATCCACACGAGGACCTTATAAGATAAATACGATCATTAATTTCTGTTTTACTTTCACAGTGAAGAAACTGTAACTAAAGATTAGTGAACAGCTCAAGGCCATGCAGCTCGTAAGAGACAGGGCTGGGGTTTGATCCTAGACATTCTGACTCCAGAGGCTCAACCCTTAGCCACTCATCTTGTGAAAGCAAACATTGCCCCAGAGTTAAACAGGGAGGGAAGACTTTGTTCAAGGCGACTGCAGTAGGGGAGACAGGCCTCAGCTCAGCGGGAGCTCGCCTCTGCTGAACAAAGGGCAAGAGAATTGGTCTTCGTTATTTTGTAGTTTTAACTGGTAAAATGGGAGTGTTTGTAAAAACTAGGGTAGAACTGATGATGTTGTTTGCTGATTGACTTTATCCAAAAGAAAAGTGACCTCTGTCATACCTTCTTGGCAACAGGCGGTTTTACAGCGTAGAGCAAAGGTGCCACTCTGTGGAAGTGAGGTGCCCACCCTCCCACAGAAGCTGAGACATGGAGCAAATAGCTCCCTGGATGTTT